GGGACTGTATATAGTGCTTCAGTTCATCTGTTTCACAGTGACAGTAGATTTACAAACAGAGCTCTGAGCTGAAAGAAGACACTTAACAAAACAGGCCAGAATCGCATTAGTGAAACTACAGGATCGGTTTGAACTTCATCTTTGCTTGCTCTCGATTGGAACGCTGGGAGAGAAGTGCTGTTATTGTATTTTTGTAGTGGCTCTGCCACTCCTGTGCCCTGGGATAGTTTGCTCTGTGCCAGTGAACATGCACTACAGTCTCTAACAGCCTGCGGCTACATAGCACTGATCACACTTCCTTATCTGTGATGTCATGCTGATGTACAGCTCCAGTAACTCCACAAAGAATCGTTTTCAAGTAGATTAGTACGTCTGAGAAAACTGAGGGAGTAATTGTGTGTTCCTGGTTGATAAATAAGTAAGCACTACTATGGCTTGTTTTATAGTTACCAGCTGTGTATGAAATTCTTGATCGTGTGGGGAATCAAAGCTTATCCGGACCACCGTGCTCTACTGGAAATGATTATTTTTATGCAAGTTACAGCCAAAAATTGAAAAGGTGACTACACATGAACTCAACAAGATGCTTTAAAGTACAGGTTTGCATAGTATGTTCAAATGTGGCGATGTGTTTGTGTGGGTAACCTCTTCATTCTTTCATTAAATGCCTTAGTACTTTTTCATACTAAACACATCTCCACGGGTCATTTGAAACATACCAAATAATCCCATTACTGTTAAGTGTAAGACGTGGAGTCAGTTTGAAGACAAAGTCTCTGCAGTCATTGTTCAGAACAGAAATTATATGCGTATGTCAGTTGTCATCAAAGAGGGGAGATGTGAAAACAAAAACATTAATGGCAATGACAAAAGTTTTATTGAAATGCGGTATTTTAGCTTTGCTGCAGCATGCAGTTACTTTATATTTACAAAGTATACAAAGTCCAGTGGGATATGCATTTGATCTAGCTTACAGTTTTTACCCAAACCATGCTGTTATAACAGTTCATCATTACCTTTTTCATATATATTTTATATATACAGCTAGCGGCAACTGATGTTAACCCAGAGTTTGTAGCTGTCTGTGTATGGACATTTCAAACAAATGGCCACAGGCAACAAAGCAGAGACAACCCATCCAGATTATGTAAATACCAGTCTGCCTGCCTTGAACTGAATGTTAATGCTCTGATCTGAAATGCTAATTGTATCTTGTGAGATATGTTGAAACAGTGAAGAGTTGCATTCTGGGATGGCCAACTTAAAGTTAGTCTGTTACATATGCTGAACCCCAGAAGGCCCTTCAATTATTGCAACAGCAGACAGATCCTTGCTTTCTATGTTTTTGGATTAATTATTAGTGGAACACATACCCTGCTATTTCTTACTAAATATTCAACCTGAGCTACTGTATGGTGTTAGTTCCTTAAAGTTTGAAGAAAGATGGTCTTGCATTAAAGGCCTGAAAGAAAACTGGTGAAAAACAACAGAAACAAAAGGGAGTAGCTCGACTGCTCCGGGCTTTGATGCTCTGCGCCTGTTTTAGATTTGTTTGTGCATACTGTGGTGCAACGAAATTACACGAGCTGGATAAACGAACAGATTCCCTGAACACATACGTTTTGACTTCTTTCGCAAACATCCTAACATGCATGGGAGACTTCTGTAGCGCTGTGCCAAATTCAAAATGGCAACAGGTAGGAAAAGCGCTCGTGTGGCACATCTCAGGATTCGTACTTGTAGATTCTGAGGATGCTGTGACCTTTGAACTGATTTTGAGCTACAACAAATTTGACGTAGACGCAGGTCCGACGAAAGGTTCACGACAGGTCTTTATTTCCAGCAACTCGGGATGATTTTGTGATATGAGAGCTCATTCCCTCAACTGGCTCCCTCCAGCTCCCAACCCTCCACTTCCCACCCACCCAACCACCCGTTCTCTTTCACTCTCTCTTCTTTCTCCCCTGCAATTTTCCATAATGCCTCACAGATTTTACACTCAATCCACCTTTGCAATGACAAGGCTTTGAGGAAATCCAATTCCACCAAGCTGTTTTCAGAACTTACTCTCCACAGGCACACACTTTCTCTCACTCACTCTCTCTCACACGCACACACCACCATCTCCACAAATTAGTCAGGGAACAAATTACCTGCATTCTGAGTGTGATCCCACGCACTTTGCCGGCTGCCTTACACAGGTCCCCTTTTGAAGAGCAGCCATGTGATTTCTCTCTCTTTTGCCCCGCAGGCCCCTTTGCCTTCTGCGAGGGATTCTGGAGTTGAATTTTAAAACTATGTATGGCTGCTGCCTGCGCTTATCAGCGCGTGCACAAGTGGCATGCAAATCAGACCAGGATCACACACCGCATTGGAGGCCTACACTCAAAGGCAAGCTTAATTGCTAATTGGGTATCTAGGTGTGAAACTCACACTGCCAATGAGAAACAGGAATGTGGATGTTTTAGGGCCAGTGGTTGAACTAATTAATTTTAATCTGAATGTTATTAAAAATTGTGGATTCCCTACATTTCTTCTGCGGAAAAAAAAACAACCCAGGAGAGTGCTGTGGCAGTACTTTTAACCGCAATTGGACATGTTGTGGTCTGGTTTTATACTCCACAATATCATTAGTGTGGTAGCTTTGCAATGCTGATGTGGTCACTGGAGGTGGTGTTAACACCACACCGCAGCTCTTACACTTGTCAGACACAGAGCCAGGGAGAAACAGATGAAGTTTTATAGCTGATCTCAGGGTCATACCGTCGACTTGAAGGGGTGTTAGCTGGTACTTCACATGCAGTGTTTCTTTGCTGACCTCAAGAACGTTTAGTTATTGATAACATCTTGCAGCCTGTAAATAGTGAAGAGTCTTTTCCCTTAAAACATCGTATTCAGAATGCATTTGGTCATCTAAAAAATAAAAGAGTGATGTTCCTGACTGCTTTTGTGTGACTGGAAAGCTCACAATCAATCAGGTGCTTATGGCTGGTAAGTGTGTGTGTATGGGTGGGGGGAAGGTTTGAATGGTCTATTGCAGGGGTATTTTTTTTCCCTTTTTTGTCCATGTGATTGAGAAGGTTGGCCACTGTTTCGGCTTTGTCACAGACTCAACTTTGTTCGACTGATGTGTTGGAAGGCTGAACAAAAACTGCTGCTGAACAATGGGCAGTGCAGGGTAGGGTGGGGGGGAAGTGGTCGCGCGTGGAAACACTGCTCCGAAAAGGGGGGCAAAGGCCAGCTGTTCAAGGTCCAGATGTGGCGTGTTAACCCAAATCGCATTATAAGCAGACGATCGCATTTTGCAGGCTAAGGCAGGATTTGTTTCATTCCGCGAAAATGCGACACACATACCTGCCACTGAAACAGCGACAGCCCAAAAGAGCCGCGGGCGCTACAATGCTAATGTTGTCGGGGGCTTTGACTTCTCCCAGCCACTGCAAAGAAGCCGCTCCGTGTGACAGCAACGGCTTTCGCTCTCACCCCCGGTGCTCGCTATTTTTTTCACGCCTCTTCATTTTTGGCAGGTGTGTTGGAGAGGGTGAAAAAAAAGCCTCACTGCTTTCTCCTATCTCTTTAACCCTAAACGTCTTGAGCCGTAATGGACGAAACGGATATCATGGACTTAACGCATCAGAAGGCGAGAAAGCGTCCCCGTCCAATCAGTTCCGTGGATGAGTCCGTGCACGCTTCCCTCAAACGGCTCCCGATCCGAGCGGCGGAGTGCAGGGAGAGCTCGCTGATGTTCGCTGTCAGGGGAGAGCCCGTTCCCGCAGCATCTCTGAAGCAAAATGACCATTCGGTGACTTCCTCTCCAACCACAGTGATGCCGGCGCAGGTAAACGCGTAAAAGTGTCGTGTTGTCTGGGGAGGGGGAGAGCGATTTAACTTTCGACTTTATGGAGCGAAGTGCCGGACACTTTGTTTTTTGGTAGTTTTGTTTTTTTTTATTTACCGAATCGAAGAAATCATCTCCTCGGTGCCCTCAACCGTAGACTGCGCACATAGTGTCAGATAGTCCTTCTTGTGTAATTCACTGTAAAATGTATGTGTTGACTTCACGGTTTTGTTTTTATTTGTTTTTTTAAAGAAGACGTTTCTAATGTCCTGCCCACTCCTTAGTGATTGGGACACTTTTGAGATTTTCTCCAATCTTCACTCAAACTTTTTCGGGTATAAAGTCATTTTTCATCTCAGAGCTTAACAGAAATCGTCTCCTAATGGTGTTTGTAGGTTATCGTGAGACGTTATTCTCCAAATCCTATTATAGTATTCAAATCAGGAATCATTATTGCTCATTTTCATGACTGAGATTGATGCTCCAAATTAATTTGGTTTTGGAGATTATGGCCCACAGGAGTGGATGCTTGTGGATTGTGGCAACATTCAGGTCAAGGTCGGGCTGCTCTATCTTGCACAGAAAAGGGTAACAAGAAAAAAAACCCACCCTTCCTCTCCACTCCTGACTGCAGAACATATTGGATAAAGAAATGCACAGATTGTTGTCTCTTATTAGCCTTTCTTTCTTTTTTCTTTCCTAATATACTAATTTGTTCGATCTTCCCTAGAGTTGTTTTAATTGTCTGTTTCATTTGCAGCAGAAGATTACTATCTAATGTGTCTTCCTACATGCATTTCCTTTGTGCTCCCTCAGGATAATCGCTCCAGCATGTCCAGGCCCATGATCACACGGTCACCGGTGTCTCCCTTGAGTAACCAGGGCATCCCAACACCTGCTCAGCTCACCAAGTCCAATGCTCCTGTGCACATCGATGTAGGTGGGCACATGTACACCAGCAGTCTGGCCACCTTAACAAAATTTCCAGAATCTCGGTGAGTTTGCCCTGCCATACAGATGTATTTTAAGTGGAGGGGGAAGGTTAAGATCCAGGGTCGGGGGTAACCATTTGTGGCAAGTTTTTTGCATGTATTGTGTGTTTTACAGGGATGTTTTTTGTCAGAATTTCCTCGCAGTTTGTTGTTTATTGGTTATTGTTGTAACGCGACGGTCAGATGTCACATTTCGTAAAACTCTGCTATTTTAAAGGGGTAAACAATTTGTGAGCACTTTAAGTGCAGAATGCAGAGAGCAGACAAAGGCAACTTGGTTATTCTGACAGATGTCACAGCGGCAGTAAAGAGCCAAAGGGCATGGAGCCATCTGGAGGCTGGGAGGCCACACTGTCGCTCCAAGCACAGGCCCGGGGGTGACTGCCTTCCTGCCTCAGGCAACCAAGCACCAGCTGGTCTTGACCTCTCAGGACCACCTTTCTTTCTTTCTTTCTTTCTTTCTTTCTTTCAGATAGATTTAGTGAGATCAGGTTTAGGCTTTAAAAATTGTTACAAGTATTGTTTGTGAGTGTAAAAAATACACTGATATGTTGTCCTCCTTCTTCCTTCCTTACCTCCCTTTCTGCCTAAATCACCACCCCTCCTCTCTCTCTCTTACGGGCAGAATTGGTCGTCTCTTTGATGGCACAGAGCCTATAGTCCTGGACAGCCTGAAGCAGCACTACTTCATTGACAGGGATGGACACATGTTCCGCTATATCCTCAACTTCCTCAGGACGTCCAAGCTCCTCATCCCCGACGACTTCAAAGTAAGTTGATGCCCATCCTAGAAACTGTAAATTCCCATCAGCCAGTCAGCAGTCCTACAACTTAACACACACAATGAATGCTAAGGCCGTGGAACGCCTTTGGTCACTGGTCCTCCCTGAGTTACTGAAAATGGTTCACATGCTGGAGAGAAAATATCAGGGCTCTACCAAACAAACCCCAATTGCAAAGCATTTCCTCATCAAGAGATGCAGTTTGATCCCTTCTAGCTACAAACTGGCAAAGATTCTTTTGCAATACATAAGTAAAAAAGCAGGTTCGTACTGAAACAATTATACTGACACCCATGGCCATACGATATCCTTTTTTCTGCAGCTCTCTGTGTTCTTGTGCCAAGTGTCCATCCAAGGTGCCTGTCACTGTATGTGGCACATAAGCACCCCACCCCCCACTCAAATAGTTAAGCAATAATTACTGAACTTGCCCTGGGAGAAAACAAATAACCACATTATCAGATGGACTGTCCACTGTGCAAAAAGTATGTCAGTTAAAATAAGCAGAGGCAAAAGACAAGACCAAGTTCAGGCTAAGGCCATATGCTCAGTGAGTAGATGTTGAGAGGATCATGTGAAAACTGGAATGTGGTGCAGTTTAGGCCCTGCAGTGCTGTGAGTAAAGGCTCTGCTCCTCTACCCCATGCAACCCTGTGTTACACGTCGCCCTGTATCTTCTCTACTTTGGATCTTTTGTAATTTTTCCTGAGTGGTGTCTCGACTAGGGTTTATTGTTCATTCATGTAGAACAGTGCTTTTAAAGCTTCCTTGTTCTTTCTGGGTTTTTTTGGGAATATCTCAGCTTTAGAAAGAAAATGACGACTTTTAACTGTTTTGCTTGTTGTGTCTTTTATTATGTTGCTCTCTAGTATCCAGATGGTCCTGCATTCTGCATCAAGTCTACCTGTATAGAAGATAATATTGCACAATTAAGCATCGATCTAGGAGGGAAAAAAACAAAAAATATTACAAAATACTTTGAAATCTAAACAGAATAATCAACAGGAACAACATATTTGATGCAACCCTGAAAAAATATACCATATTTACCATGGTTTTAATGTGTAAACCGTTAAGGCCGACAACTTCACATTTCTTTTTAAAGAATGCAATGATGTGAAAGCCCTTCAACTTTTATATCCTACAGGACTACAGCTTGCTGTATGAGGAAGCACGATATTTCCAGCTGCAGCCCATGCTTGCTGAGCTGGAGCGCTGGCGCCAGGACCAGGAGCTAGGTCGGGTGTCCCGTCCCTGCGAGTGCTTGGTGGTGCGTGTTGCACCCGACCTGGGCGAGAGGATCACACTCAGCGGTGACAAGGCCCTGATCGAAGATGTGTTTCCAGAAATCGGAGACGTTATGTGCAACTCCGTCAATGCCGGCTGGAACCACGACTCCACACACGTCATCCGGTTCCCACTGAATGGGTACTGTCACCTCAACTCTGTCCAGGTTTGTATCCATCTATCTTGAAAACATAATAATTGATTGCAGTAATGTTGTGCTCATTTAGCCTTTTTCTGTCATAAAAAATTAGTGATGTCTGATTGCAGGCTTTCTTTTTTTTTTTTAATCTTTTTTTAATCCAATCAAATCACAAGAACAGCCTCGCAGAAAAATGGGTGCTTTGATGAGTTCATCAAAGCGCTAATTTAGAAAGCTATCATTACACAAGTCTACCACCATCTTTACTTTCTGTGATCTGTATGGAATAATAATGTTGACTGTAACTGGAGAGCTGAAAAAGGGCTGTGCTTCAGTACTAGCCACTGATGTAACACTATGTTTTTGGTTGGTTTTGAACATATAACATTGCATTACACAAAAATGAAGGTGTAGATGTGCTTCATATGCCAAAAAAATCAGTTAATCTGGACCTTTGGTTTTACATAAAGTTTGAAAGATCTCAGTTCAACCCTTTACTTCAGGTGAAACCATGTCTCACAACCTATAAACATTTTATTTTTGTCTCTTGGTCTAAAAAGTAATTACATTGGCCAGAGTCTTCCATCATGTGCTAGATGATTTAAAGACTGAAAACAGAGACCAGAGAAGCTGAAGGAGCCTCTCAGCCCATTTTAGTAACAATATGCTGGAAGTTTGTTGTGAATTATTTGAACAATGATGACCAAAACACCAGCTTACAGTGGGCATTAGGGCCAAACTAATGAAAAGTGATGAGAAAGTTGTTAATGATGGGAGTTTTACATAGTGGAACAGCTGAGACCTTTATCAGTGGTGCAAAAGGAAACTGTAAGGAAGAAGAAAGAGGAAGTTCAGCGTGTAATAAAAACACAAGTCAGTAACTCTGAGTGTCTTAGTGGATCAACAGATTGACGTTCAATTTAAAATAAAATCAAGACTTTGATGGTGTTCTGTTCAAGTATTGTTTCTGTGTATAACATCCCAAAAGCATTTGGCAAGATTTCCTACTAAGAATTGGATGCCTTCGTGAATGAATACCAGCAATATCTTGAGGTTGTGCACTTCTGATATATTAGTTTATCTTTGTTTATTAAAGTTAACTTTGCCTTTGTAAACTCTTATAAGTTATTAGGGGTGTTATAAATCTAAGGGTTGAGAGTTTATTCGAACACCATTCATTATAAGGAGATAGAAAATAAGTTTGTTGTAAGAACTAGAGGTCAAGTTTCAATTTGCTTTCTATTAAAATATTATCCTTTCCCAGGAACTATGTTTTTTTTTTTTACCTGAAACTAATACATGCAAAACTGAAGCTTTTAAACAAATAGGTGTATGCTGCACACACAAGTAAGCCTTTACTCAACAAAACACTCTTTTTGTGTCAATCTCCATTGTTATTGTCTGCATGTATTTGGCAATCCTGCATTTCCCAGATTATAAATTCATACTCCAATAACTCATTGATGGTAAAATCCTCAGACATGCATCCATAAAGGATGAAGTAGAGGCATATTTGAAAAGATTTTACAATGATTTTGGACTATGTCTCCGTCTGAGGAAGTCAAATCACCGCCTCCTTCCCAAAAAACACACACACAAACCAGACTCTGGAGTGTGTGTGTGTGTGAGTCGTGGAGAGCAAGCAAGAGAGTGAGCATGCTCCCTAGCAGGTTGTCCCCAGGCAGGGCCCATAATCCTGTTTGGTTATTAAAGCACGCCGGCGGTGAATGCTGTATCTGCGGCTAATGGAGGCAGGGCGGGGGGTTTGAGAGAAGGAAGGGGAGCAGAGAGAGCTGCCAGCAGTAGGGGGACCTTTGTAGTTTTGGTGAAGGCTTGGGCCTGGGGGAGAATTGGGGAGAGGGTTTTTTTTTTTCCTGAGCAGCCCACACTGAGCCAAGTGGCAGAGAGAAAGCCTCACTGCTCCCTGGGGCCTCTTCGATGGAATGTGATCCTACAACCCCCCTGGACACGTCTGTAGATGTCTGCGAGGCTGTGGGATCAGGAACAGCTACACACATAGACAAACACACATATACACCAGAAAACAATGAAAATGAGGTATGAGGCAATATGAGAGGCTCTTGGTTTTGTGAAAGTCTTGTGAAAGTCCCATCCAAATTCCCGTCACAAGCCGTATGTTGCTGCTACTTACTCCCAAAGCTGTTTCCAATGCTAGACTAAGGCAGCAGCACATAATTGGAGGAGTTTCGGGTGATTGAATGCTTTTCAGCACTAAACAAAAGGTTAGTGGTTAACAATTTAGCATCACTGTTGTAGCGACTCCCTGACTGGCTTATCACACTGACTTTTACCAAGAAATGACCAACCGTGTGCATTTCCTTCTATAATCAATATCTTGCTTCTGACATCCTCCCCCCTTCTATCTTGTTCCACATTTCCCAGGTTCTAGAGCGTCTCCAGCAACGTGGCTTCGAGATCGCTGGCTCCTGCGGCGGAGGCGTGGACTCATCCCAGTTCAGCGAGTACGTCCTGAGGAGGGAACTGAGGAGGACAAGTCAGCGAGGGCCCAATTCAAACAGGATAAAGCAGGAGCAGCTAGACTAGAAGCCTCCCAAGCAGCAGGAGGTGCTAGACTTTTCTGTGGCAGCCAAACGCTTGACGCTGCAGAGCTCTGTGGACTCTGTTTTTCTTTGTTCCCTTGTTGATGTTTTTTGTTTTCTTAAACTTGAGAATCATCTAAAGAATAAAAATGAAGTGCAACAGGAGATTTTTTTTTTTGCCATAAGAAGATACAAGATATTTGATAAGTTTGAGATTGTCCCCCTAAACCAGTTTAAAAAAGGATTTATATATGCTGGATCCCCAAACAAAGTTTGTTTTAAAACTTGGAGCCTACATTAGGTTGAATAGGAGTCCTAATTTTCCCATATAAATTAAAAAGAAAAGAATTTGTTGCTGATTTTCTGTGTTGCATAGCTTTTTTTTATTTGTATTTTTTCAACCAGTGACTTGATTCAGTCTCGCTGGCATATTGGTTAAGTCTGTTTTTACCCCTTGTTTTGAAAAGGTCACTAATGTGTTGCTTACAGTGCAGAATGTCTTCGTTGTCATAAACAGTTAGTCTCAACAACAGCATCTGTTTTTCATATAATAACATGACGTTAAATAATTACGATACCAATGAAGTGTTTTTTCTTTAATTGCTTATTTTATTGGCTTAAGTCAAAAAAATACAGTTGACATCAAAATTTAACTTCAAAGACTTTTATATATATATATATATATATATACACACACACACACACACACATGTATGCAGTAAGGAAATAGAAGAAGCTACTTTCGTCTGCTCTCTTATTCACAAGGGGTCACCACAGCGGGTAGCATGCATGTTTGATTTGACAGATTGTTCTTATTCCGGATGCCCTTCCTGCCACAACCCCAAAAGGGATTTGTGTCTCCTCAAACTGGGGATCTTTCTTTTGTTGGGAAACATGTAAACCACTACACTATGGAGCCGCTAGATGCAGTAAGGAAATCATTTTGTGAATTATTATGACACACCATTTGCCTCATCAGGGACTATGAGCTGCAAACCCCCCGCGTCCTACTTTGGGAATTATTTAATTGGATCAAAAAAAATTCCCTTGAGTCATGACCTGTAAATTTTCATCGTATATGTGTTTGTGTTTTTTACATTTAAACTTTTTAAAGGAAATTTTGTTGCTTCAGACATGACTGAACAGATTAAAAGCTTATTGTACTACCCACTCCAAGATCACTTTTATTTGTAGCACATATTCATATGAAGTTGAATATAAAGTATTTCTTAAATAACTGACCCACCTATGCTCCCTAGATTTGAGTAAAGAAGAATGTAGCAAAAAAAAGTGAAATAAATCTCAGCTAAAGTAGTTATGGTGTCTGTTCACAGTTTTTACTTTGCTGCAGGGACTGCTTTCACATGTCTCGCAGCAGTTAATTAGTAATTCCATAAATTTGATTTTGCTGCATCTGTTGTACCGCTCGCAATTATTTCAAGAAACCTGAATGTATTTATGGCAAACATGATAAAAAAACAAAACATAACATTATGTAGTGTCTTTGCTCTTTCCAACCAGAGAGGTAAAGCAAACTGCCGAGGCAATATTATACCTTGGAGGATTTATGCTGGTGCATCAGTGACTACACAGGGCATTCTTTACTTAGTTATATTGAATAGAGCCGACTTCTCCACGCAAGTCCTGTCAGTTGTACTTCCACATATTCCTGCAGGGTCAAAATCCAAAGTGAAATCCCACACGGAGCCATGTTGTCTTGTCTCCATCCCTTTTGGCAGAATCTCCACTTTCTTTGGCTATCTACAGTTTATGCTATATGTCTCCCTTTCAGGCCCCTTTGCCCCAGATTCCCTTTTGACTGACTGTTATGCTCATAGGCTAGAGGTGCAACTGTGAGTGGTTCAAAGCAATGCTCTGTTCTCAGTCATAAAATCAAAAACATTTCCTGTGCACGTGGAAGAAACTATCAACTTTCAATTAAAAACACTAGAATTCCCTCAATTAAAAGTTTGTGTTTAAGACAATACATCATTGGCTAAACATTCTTTTAGCAAAGCTAAATATAATGCTTTAAATATTCAGCTCTTTTAATTTTTATTTCAGTACTCATTATTTAAAATGACTGATCATTTTAAGCAGAGCCATTTGCTTTGTTCTTGAAAGTTAAGTGAAAAGGTGACATCTTGGTCAGGATATATTGCTACCAGTGACTGCAGATACATTTCTAAAAGCTAAATCATGATTGGAAGAGGTGACCTTGTTGGTTTCTAGATAGATGGGCATAACCCAATTTACAGGAACTTTACTTTGGTGCAACCAAAGCTTACTCAGATTGGTCTATAACACTCAGACTACGAATACACTACAAATCAGAAAGTTTCCACTACCACCAGTCTTGTCGCTCCCCTACAGGGTCTGGATATTCACATAGATAGTGGTTTATAACATTTAACACATAGCATAACATAAAGCAACAACCTGCAACGACAAAGTACAAAAACCTGTAAAACCAAAAGCCTGTTTTTACTTTACAGGCCAAACAAAGAACTTAATCTTTACATTTTAGGATTGACTTAACATGTAGATGTTTACACGTAAAAACATGTAAATATAGACATGTAGTTATCTTTATAGGTGCTGCTGGATAGATTTTGTATCTACCGCTAAGCTAAGCTAAGCTAAGCTAAGTTAAGCTAACCAAACCAGCTACTGGCTGTAGCCTCATATGCATCGCATGAGAGTGGTATGCCTGTCTCTCAAGTATTTCTATAGTAACTAGAGCATTTTTTTCTTTTTAAAAATATGTTGCTATTCTTAAATAAGTTGTAATTTTATAGGTATATTAATCTTCTTATGAAATAAAATGTTATTGAGGATAGTGTCACTCACTAAACCAGTGAGCTTTATTTTAAATTCTGTAGCACTCCTACTTTTTATGCAACATATGTGATTTTTGTTCTTTAAGTTTACTACCTGCGGGGCAGCCTCAGTATAATGAGACCTTGTCCATCCCTATCGCTTTTCACTTCCTGGATTTAGACTAACTTGAAAAGGAATTAGAGATATCCTCCTCTCAGAACGCATTATGCTGAAGAAAAGATGAATAGTATTAAAAACTGACTTCCAGTTCTTTAAAGGGCAGTAGTTTGGAGGAGAATAAAGTAATCTGGGATCCTCCTCCTTCTTCTGTGGCGCCTCTGTGATTATGTCTCTTTCACTTGCTTTCTCTCTAGTGATTATTTCCAGTCATCAAAAGGCATTGCAGGGCCTGGAGAAAGAGGCTGTGGCCATCTTTCCCTCAATCCCGAGGCTCTGCTTACTCACCACTAGTGAAGGTCAGTGGATGGACTCATTCACCTCATCTTCAGATCATCAGCCCTCGCAGTGCTCAGTTCTACAGCCTATAGTGCAAGCAGTGGCTCCAGTTCCTAATGAATATACAAACTAAACAGACTTATTAGATCATGTACGCTGTACACCATCTTCCTCTAGCTGCAGTCTTCTCTCTTGTTCTGTGTTGATCTGTAGGTAATATTTTCTACCGTAGGTGCCTCCTACCTTTATTGAAAAAGCCTCTTGGCCATTTTATGCCAGCAAGATAATTATAAATGTAACCTATGGCAAAAAAGAAAAACACAACTCCCACATCTCTCCCTTGCCATTTCTCTCTCTCTTTCTCTTTCCTTCTCTCTCTCTCCCTCCCTTCCTCCCCCAACCTCAGCCTCAGGAGCTGATTTCAAATTTTCAAAGATATCTCATAGTGAGGCTGTGAGATTGAAGGCTCATAAATACCTTTATTATAATATAATGGTCACATTTTTCCACCCATTATTTCTGGTGGAAAAGAATAGTTCATTGGTGTGATGAATGTCTCGCAGTCTTTGGTACTTTAAATGTTTTTAGTTGGACAATCGCCGGTAGAATAATATCTCAAACGGACACTCGCTAGTATAATGATATCTCCTTGTGGCTTTGCTTCAGTTAATAGCCATTCTCAACCACTGGATGTGTAACATTGCTGACATTATTTATCTGTTAAAGTCACAAGGCCCTGCCCGTCATGCAGGTTTTGGGAATGCCTACTTTCCAGTAATCTGGGACTATGTAAATATGCTGTCTTCTGGTTCCTTTTTTTCTTTTATGAGAGGAGTGATGGACAATGCTAACGAGACAGACTTGGTAACATTTATGTATCACTATTCCCATTGGCACAAGCCTGACTGCATGTGCTCACATTAATGAATAGGTGTGTACAAGATTACCACTATGGAATGAAAACAATCTCAAGTCTAATCAACTTCATTTCAAATCTGAAATAAGATTAAGACATTAATCCATGAGGCAGTGTGCAAGGTGTATGGGCAGCTGTTGCAGCACACAGTGCACAGACTCTGCATTTATGCACAATGTTGATCGAGTGAATTACACTGTTTGGGTGAACACTGACAATTCCTATTCCTGTATGTGCAACAAGCCATTTGCACTTCCGAAGAATCGTGTGCAGACCTTAGCTCTTTCCATAACTGTCATAGATTATATGGACCAGAGTACTGGGCCACATTACAAGTACAGAAGGCACCCAGTCATGGAAATCCATGCCAAAAGACCCTGGTTCACAGTTTTTGTGCTGATGTTAATGTCAAAGTAGGTTTTAAAAGCTGCACTTAGTGACTTCGCTCTGCCACTGTGGTCTGCCACTTTGTGGCTGAATTCAGCTTCATCCAGATATTTCTACAACTATAATGGAGCCAAGGTTCAGGTGCATACCATGTGTGTACTGACAGAGGTGTGAAAAAGTATTTACCCACTTCCTAATTTCTTCTTTTTTGATTATTTCATTTATACAGGGTAAAAAGCTATCCAAACCTAGTTGGCATTGTGTGAAAGTAATTGTCCCCCAAGACTACTGGGAACACATTATGTGCACTGTCCGAACTAAAGTTTAGCTTTTTGGAAGATTTGAGTCCCACTGCATCTGGCATAAAATTAACACAGAATTTCATAAAAAGAACATCATGCTTAAAGTCAAACATCAATTTGGCTTTGCTGCTTTAGGACTTGGATGACTTGCCATAATTGATGGAAACATGAATTTTGCTCTCTACCAGAAAATCCTGAAAGAGAACTCTTGTGGTCTAAAGCTCAAGCACACTTGGGTTATGCAACAAGACAATGATCCAAAACATCAGCAAGTCCACCACCGAATGGCACCAAAAAAATAGATAAATAAATAAAAGTGCGTGTTGGAATGGCCTAGTCAAACTTAAATCCAATTGAGATGCTTTGCCATGACCTTAAACATGCTCACAAAACCTCCAATGTTCCTTTAGCTGTACACTTGTCTCTTGTTCTGTGTTGATCTGTAGAAATATTTTCTACAGTAGGTGCCTCGCATACCTTTAAATTTTGGTGTGGCACAGTCAATGTCGGGACTTAAAGCCAATTGAGATGCCCAGGCATGAACTTAAAAAACCTCCAGTGTGGGTGAATTAAAACAATTCTGCAAAGATGAGTGGACCACAATTCCTCCGCAGCAATATGAAAGGCGCATTGCCAGTTACCACAAACACTTGATTCCAGTTCTTGCTACCAAGGATGGTGCATCCAGTTATACAGGTTTGGGTGCAATTAGTTTTTCACAGCCAGGTTTTGGATAGCTTTCTTCCCATAATAAATTAAACTATTATTCTGAAATATTTTCTCTGATGATCTGATGAACAAATAAGCAAAGATAAGAAATCAGTATGGGGATAAATACTTTTTCACAGCACTGTATGCAGATTTCTAGCACTTGTGGCAGGTAATATTGACTGTGGAGTCTGTAATTAGGTCCCATTTTGTATATGTGAAATACATGCTAAGCGTTGCAGTCTTTTGTGTGCTTATCCATTAATGTGACAACATCCAATTCAGACTTCTGAAATGTTGATAGAAGTTAGTAAAATTTGCTAAGTCTGACAGGTTGCTTCCTTAGTTTTTAGGAGAAAGTAACCTGGTGCTCATTCATGGCTGAAGCTAAATGTCTTAGATTAATTGAAAAGTGTTTATATCTGAAAGAGTAGCTTGGTATCTTTATGGATGCATCATTAAAGCCCGATCTTACTCCCAACTCATAATACGCTGAGGCTTCTCATACCATTTTAGCTTATACGGTAAGGAAAATTAATGTGTAAAATTGGCAGGTTTTATGCATTCATAAAAACTGAAAT